TCATATGCTGAACTTTCAATACTCCAGAAACACCCTAAACTTCTACCAAAAAATGAATACTTCTCAACTCTAGTGATACAACACTACCATAATGCTTTATTTCATGTTGGAGTTCAACATACTCTGGCAGAAATAAGAAAAGAATACTGGATTTTGTGTGGAAGATCTCAAGTATACAAAACCATCAAGAAATGTCTAACTTGTATTCGTTGGGAGGGTGGTCCATACAAATTGCCACCCATGCCTCCACTTCCAAAAGAGAGGGTTACAGAACAGATCCCATTTAGCAGCACTGGACTCGATTACTTCGGCCCATTATACGTTAAAGACTATCACAACAATGACTCTGGAGATTTAAGGAAAGTTTATGGCTGCGTATTTACTTGTCTTACAACAAGAGCCATTAACGATTTAACAACTGAAGAATTTCTTCTATGTCTCAAACGGTTCATAAGCAGAAGAGGTAAACCAAAACAAATATTTCTAGACAATGCTCCTCAATTCAAACTCGCCGCTTCATTTACTGAAGATATTTGGAGAAAAAACTTCAAAGACTCTAGTGTTTTATCTTACATAAATAATGAGGGATGTGAGTTCTGTTTTATTCCTGAACTATCACCTTGGATGGGTGGTTTCTATGAGCGACTTATATCCCTAGTAAAGAGGTGTTTAAGAAAGACAATTGGTCCGACAGTACTTACATTTACTCAGTTGGAAACTACTTTAACTGAAATTGAAGCGGTATTGAATTCAAGACCTTTAGTGTACGTCTCTTCTAGTGAAGCCAGTTTATCAGATTGTATCTTAACTCCCGGTCATTTCCTGAATTTTCACGGGAAAAATGGAATTGAGATAAGTGGAAAGACAACTAATCCAGACCATAAGCTATCCAACACTGAAAATTTACTTCAAACTTGGAAAAAAGGACAGAACCTCATAAACTCATTTTGGGTTCTTTGGAAGAAAGACTACTTAACTAGTTTGAGAGAAAGGACTCAATCTGAAATCAAGCAGAAACGTTGCCGGTCTTCACAATTCCCCAGTATTGGAGATATTGTTCTTATTCACGATAATTTACCCAGAGGATGTTGGAGACTTGGTCGAATTAATGAACTACACTCAAGCAAAGATGGAAATATCAGAAGCGTAACAGTCACTTTAAGCAACAAAAAGAAAATAATTCGACCTTTAAAATTACTCTACCCTCTTGAAATTAACCGTGATGAGACTAACCAGGTGTGTTGAAGAAATTTCTCAAGTGGCCGGAGTGTGGCAAAGCCATAACATTTCCCAAAAGACTGTTTGTAACATATGTAATTAATACCAGATGTTGTGAATATAAAAAGAAAACAATTGAGTTGTACTAGTTGAAAAAATAGCAAGAAGATGATGTTAACTAAAACTTAAACTACTTTAATTGTCAAAAATAAAACTTATTTCACGCTTCCACATTTATATACTTACTTAATTTAGAACAAAACTTATAAATCCGCGACACTCCCGCTATCTCCGCGTCCCGCCATCTCCGTGTCCCGCTACCTCCGAATTTCAGAGTGACCCCTATAATCCTCGGTTACTACATGCGTTAAGACTTTCCGTCCTATCCTAACCTAACCTAACCTAACATAACCTAACCTAACCTAACTTAACCTAACCTAACCTAACCTAACCTAACCTAACCCACGGGTTAAATTTTCATTAAATCTTCCATCCACGGGGCTTCGCAGCCGTGGATGCAATGACAGCTACCAACGCAGGACGGGATTATAAGGGTCACTCAAGAATTCGGAGATGGCGGGACAGATTTGGGTTCGGAGATGGCGGGACGCGGAGATAGCGGGAGCACACGATCACAATTGGTGAATCGCGTATTCTAACGATGATAGCATTGTGATGGCGGAACTACTTTTGAGCTGATTGACGAAAGTTAAGGCCTTTTTAGCGAATTTCCCTATAGGGAAGTAGCTATTACCGTAGGTCTCATGGTAAGACCTGGGCGCGGGACCGATTTACTTTTTCATTTTGATGTCCCCAGAGGCCAAAAACCCTAATCGTTCAAATTCATATATATATATATATATATTTATATATATATATATATATTTATTTATATATGTGTCCGTTAGCGCGATAACTCGAGCAAAAATGATCCGATTTCGATGAAATTTGGTACAAACGTGTAAACCGACGTTTATTCGAACGAGTTCGCGAACCAGCATGATCGGACTATGGGAACAGGGGTTTATGGGGGGTAAAAATGGGGTTTTCCCATTTTTGACCCTAAAAATAAAAAATTTTGCAATTTCTTTTTAAACCGTTTTGTAGAGCTTAAAAAAAGAAATAATTTAGTATATTGAAGCGCTGTTGTATGCCTAACGGTCACGGAGAAAATTAAAAAATAGTGTAATTTAAAATTCCCATGTTATTCTTATGGAGAAAATGAAAATTGTTGTAGTTCACTTGTTTATGGATATATATTGATAAAATTTGGCAAATTTATTTATTTCATCCTATACTATGCACTTTTGACATATGGTCAAAAAACACTTTTTACCTTCCCCGTAGCAGCAAACCTAAACACTCGTTAAATCTAATGTTATTTAAATAGGGAATAAAAATAAGTCTTATTTATGGAAATATTTGAGCAAAAATGTAATAAGACAAGTTGAAATTCGCTTAGTCTGCAGGTTTGCTGCGGCGGGGGTATTATTTTTGGTTAGGTACATTATTTGCCATTGTCTTTTGTAAACTCTGGTTTTGTATGTAAAACTGATTCAATGTTTCCTTTCTCACATATCAACAAACGAAAATAAGTATAGCTGCGAGACCTAGGAATAAACTATCCTCAACATCAGACACATGTAGATATCTGCTGAAGCAGTGACGTAGATCACGCAGGAATATTTCTTTGTTAAATTTTATTTTGTAGTGTTATGGAATTTAAACTTTGTGTTTTTGTGTTAACAATGCTTGATTAGCACATGAGTAAAGCAGACTAAAATACTGTACCAATAAGCGAGTAAAGCGAATAAAGCAGAAACAATAAAGTTAATCAAAGTTAGTCAAATTAAATAAAGTTATTGGTACTATATTATAGTAGCCTACCAATAACAACATATTATTAGTACGCTCTTATACGTCGGTTCTTATGCATTTCGTAATACGCAAACTCCTCCTAGACGGCTGAATCAATCGTTTTCAAATTTTGCATGGTGATAAAGACCATATCGGTGAGTGCCAACATCTATATGGCGTTAAAAAAGTCTCTCAGGAATCCGCCCCACTGGGTTTCAAAGTGTCAATGTAATCCTTATGGACGCACTATTTGACACATAAACAAAGACATATGATCAGCTGTTGACTTTTGAATGCAGTAGATAAAGAAATAGCTGATAGCATTATTCCACAGATATTAGAACAGAAACGGTATGGATCATAAATATAATCAAATGACGACACTGGCTTGAGGTCCGTGACGTAGGAAGTGGTGAAGGTAGTAGTAAAGGTGAGCAGTCTGGAGTGTGGGAACTGTTTATGACGATTAGATTAATGTATCTGCAATCCTAAAATGCTATGGGAAGGAAGGGACAAAAGGTCCACAACGTAGGAAGTGGTGAAGGAAGTAGTCAAGGTGAGCTTTCCAGAGTGTGGGAACTGTTTATGACGATTAGACGATTAGACATGAAGACTATGTCACTTATATTTATTATATGAGTGTGGTACAAAGAGAAAATACTATTTAAGCAGCTACTGTCATGACAGAAAGGTCATATTCCTTTTAAACTAGATCACATAATCCTTTATAAGATACGTTGATTAACAGGGTGTCCACCGACCGGGAAAACCGGGAATTATGCGTGATTTTTTTGAATCGGGAAAACCCCGGGAGTTATGCGTGAATTTTGTAATTAACCGGGAATTTTTTTCCACGATCGCGCATGACGACGATGACGTTCCCGTGACCGCGGGAAACGACGATGACGTTCCCGTGACCGCGGGAGATGACGATGACGTTCCCGTGACCGCGGGAGATGACGATGACGTTCCCGTGACCGCGGGAGACGACGATGACGTTCCCGTGACCGCGGGAGATGACGATGACGTTTACGTGACCGCGGGAGACGACGATGACGTTTCCGTGACCGCGGGAGATGACGATGACGTTTCCGTGACCGCGGGAGACGATGATGATGTCCAAACGGCCGCGGGACATGTTAGAGATTTTGCCGCGATCGCGCATGCGGACGGTTAAGCACGGGTCACAACAGGCTGCTCGCCAGCCGCTGGTGATCAGCAGCTGGCACCAGCATCACCAAGCAGCGGCTTTTGCACGGGTCACACTAGGCTGCTTGTCAGCCGCTGGTGATCGTGATATTAACGATTTGTGAGAAGGAACAGCTGTGAGGTTTTGCAACAAATCACTGTAAGTTGCTTGATGTTCTTACTTCTTTAAAGAAACGTCCCACAAGCACGTATAGTTTTGGAATAAATTTAAGAAATCAATAACCTGCTTCCTCGACCACCTAAGCTCAATAATTTCTATGCTATTAAAAGTACTATTACTTTTAATCGCCTAGTTTAAAGCTCAGTTCTTGTCGCCATTTCGTACTTTTTGTGTCATCATAAACCAGCACTTAATATTGAGGATGTGTGTGAAAGAGAAATAGGTAATTTTATTAAAAGATGCTTAACCGCAAGAAGAGACGTTAGTGGACCAGGCCTTGGATACAAATAATTTATAAATAAAAATACTTTTAAAAATACCACGTTTTTAAACGCACTAAAAGATGAATCAGAAACATACCTACAGGCATGTTTTACGAATGTCACCACATACATTCCAGGAATTACTAAAATTAGTTTAACCTCTAATTAAAAATTTGAGACTATTGCTTTTGTCCTTTTGTGTTAAACCAAGTTGGAAATTATCTTTGGTCGCCGCTGGCAAGCATAGAGGTGGTCAGACTACGCTGCTCGCTGGCGTCAGCGAGTGCGAATGGTCACGTGACCTCTAGTCGCCGCTGCCTCGCTACCAAAAGTTGAGCATGTCCAACTTCGCCAGCCGCTGACAAATACTCGCCGGATGGCGGTGCCAGCTGCGAATTTTGTGGTCACATTAAGCTGAAAGTAGCGGCTTCTTTCAATTCGCCGCTGATGCCAGCCTAGTGTGACCCGTGCTTTACGCATAGATATATAATAACAACACTTTACGTGGCGCGAGCGCCGGGTGGCCCGAGCGCCACGTGGACTACCAGACTATGTTTTGACAGCTTGTTACCGAACCGGATAAATCAAGTGTACACTTAAACTTGTCACATTATCCATGTCGTCATGACGCATCTGCGTCTAATAACATTGGAATAAAAGCTTACCCTCTTATCTACGATTAAGATGCTTGCAGATTTTTTTATATTTTTTTAATGAGGTAATCTAGACCAACTATATAAACAACTCATGTAAATGTAGTTCTTTACATCGTTGATATAGACTCAAAAAACAAATAGTTTAGTATATTGAAGCGTCATAATGCGTCTAATGGTTACAGAGAAAATTACAAAAAAAATGTAAATATAAAATTCCTATATAATGCTAATGGAGAATAGCTGTTTCAGTTTGCCTGTTTATGAATATATTTTGATTACATTTGAAAGATTAATTTATTTCATACTAATTTATTAACATAAAAAACACTTTAACAATTTAAATTCAAACACTTTAAAACAGAATCCATTAATACATTAAATATGCTCAAAAACACCACGAAAAATTAATTTGAAATAAAAAAATAACATGGGTCTTATAGGCTGCTAGGCTGGTGACAAAAAAACAACCAAATAGTTTATAATCAGAAAATCAAAACAAATGGAAAAAATTCAAATCACATGTTTTATTAATGTTGGTTTTGTTATATTAGGTTTTTAAATAAAAACTACGATTGCAACTATCTCACTTGTAACCCAAAAACCACTTAGAAGTTGTATTTATAATTATTAATATTTGTAAACTATAAGCACTACTTTAATATTGTCAGTTTGTAGATACTTAGTATATTATACAAATGTAATTAAATAACTTTTTTATCTGCATCGTATGTCTTATTAAATTACATAAAAGCACAAAGAATACGTCAAATAACACTAAAATTATTATATTTCGGCTAACAAACAATATTATAATTACACAATACTACAATATTATACAACAATAACAATAATTATATTAAACAATATTATATTAATGTTATATTATAATTACAAACGGGAAACGTGTATGGATATTATTTCAGTTTATTCTCAAATAAATGTGTGTATGTTAATTATTATCGACCCTTACTAGGTACTGTATATTGATACTTTACACTGTAGTTTATTTTTTTCATAATACTATCAATAACGATATTTAAGATAACTAGTGTCCCTGCTGCTCGAAATAGAGCAATTGCTAAGTATTACAGGCGTTATTTTAAAACGAATAACAGTCATAATTGTTGATGACTTTAAAAGATTCGACTCAAAGATTATGGAATACTCAAGATGTACATAACAGATCGATGTAATCAACATTTCTTGTAAATATCTTATCATTTTTCAAAAGCTGATTTTGTTTTTAGTGTTTTCTACAAATAGCCTCACTCATAGCCACATTAGGTTGTACATAATAACGATTATAAAAAACAAAAAAGAAAACACACATTATTTCTATTTCTTTCCCTTGGTGGTGTTCTATGATTTTCCTATGCTTCCATGGTTTGCAAATCGTCTCTTTCAATGATGACTAAGAAATGCAGCACAGTGTTAATTCAGTTTTCTTTTTAGTATATCAATTTATCCAGGTTTTCTCGTTTTTTTCCATTGTAATATTTACGCCAACCCAAATTCAAATAGTAACTATTTCATTTCAACCAAGTAAGTAAATGTTTGTAGCAAACTGTTAAATTAGCAAACTTATTGACTGTTTACAATTAACATATGTCCTTCTTCTCACTTTTAATTTCTGACAACAGCTGGAGTTTCATAACAATTTTTGTTTCCCATGTTAATCTTATGGAGAAATACGAAACTTCAAAGGGCCCCAGGGCCTCACCCTCTAATTATTTCCCTTAAAAGAAAGTTTCCTGCACAACTTCACGTTACGCTCTTTCCAATGACACCAAGAACATGTAAATCGGTTCAGTAGTTTCAGAGGAGTAATTGGCACAAAAAAACCTGCTTGCGTATTAAATAAGTACTAGTGTACATGTTGCTCGAAATCGAGCAATTGCAAAGAAGTACAGGAGTTATTCATAAACAAATAACTTGTTTAAAAACTAATAACAGTCATAATTTCCGATGATTTTAAAAGAGTCAACTAAAAGATTAGTAACTAATGGCAATACTCACAATTTACATCACAGTCCTATTCCAGTTTAAAGGGTTAATTTTTAACAATCAAACTGTCCATGGACGGGAAAAGGTAAGCTTACAATTTAAGTCAACATAAAAAGGCTGTAAGCTTTTATAAAGTACCGTACCGTCCGTACCTAAGTTATTTAGCCAATTTGTAGACAATAAGGTGTAGGCTACTTTAAACTCTACAGGACAGAGTTAGGCAAAAACTGGCAAAATCTCTGAAATGGTGTTATTTATCATAGGCTTACTCATATGCCAAATCCTTAAAATAAAAATTCAATAACTAATAACTTATATCATTAAACACAAACCAACATCCAAAACTATACGCATTTTTAATACAACATAGATAATTTACACATTAACTGTTTACAATTAACATATGTTCTTCTTCTCACTATAAATTTTTGCTTCGCAACGGGAAAAATCAAATCAAATCAAATCAAAATCTCTTTATTCCTGAATAAATATTACATGTTGTTAAAATTGTGTATGTACAGGAAAAATAATTCCCAAGTAGACTATCCGTCTGTGTTTGGGAATGAGTTGCTAATACAGCTATACACAGGTCCATAAATATTCAGGAGTACTTAGACAATTAATGATGATAGTAATATAACAAAATATTAATAAGATGAAATGAAAAAAACCTAACTGCATCGAAACATCCAAAATTCAACTTTAGTGATTGTAAGTGGTATATAGCAATGAAGAAAAAATAACGTGATTTTGGTGATAAATGAAACTGCAAAAAATTATGAGTACAACGATTTGAGTAATCCTTCTGATTGCTCCCCGCCGAGATTTAATAGCCAGCTCATGACTCTACGTTTAAACACAGCGACGCTGTCACTCTCCGCCTCTCGTATATGTGAAGGCAAGTTTCGATACAATGTATGACAAACGTAAAAAGGTATAGTTTTAAGGGTTGAATGGGAAAGTCTGGGAAAAGAAAATCCGAAGTTAATGTTACTTCTAGTCAAATAACGATGTTGAACAGGAGAAAAAACCGAACATTTATTAGGTTTTATGAAAATAAGAAGATTTTTTATGAACAATTGGCGAATGTTTAAAACTGGAAAGTCGCAAAACAGTTGCAAGGAAGAAAATCTAGAGTTTTTATTTAAGATAGTTTTTATAACAGATCGTTGAACGACAGAAAGTGGTTCCAGAGCAGTGGGAAGGGCACCACCCCAAGCCAGGATACCATACTGCAACACCGACTCATTCCCAAACACAGACGGATAGTCTACTTGGGAATTATTTTTCCTGTACATACACAATTTTAACAACATGTAATATTTATTCAGGAATAAAGAGATTTTGATTTGATTTGATTTGATTTTTCCCGTTGCGAAGCAAAAATTTATAGTGAGAAGAAGAACATATGTTAATTGTAAACAGTTAATGTGTAAATTATCTATGTTGTATTAAAAATGCGTATAGTTAGTTGTGTAGGCAAAGTACACGGTCCGTAACTGCTGCCCCGAAAGCACCTCCCGAAGCTGCGTGAATGCGTAAATGAGCTTACGTACTTTGTTTTTGACGTATTGAACATGCGGAGCCCAAGTCAATTTACTATCGATCACAACCACTAAATACTTATACTGCTCCACACGCTCAATCACTCCACATGCGCAGCCAATCGCAAGTGCATCGCCACAGCAGTGCAGCTTCAAAGATCTCTCACCTAGTCCAAAGATATTTCTAAGAAAAATAGGAAGACATTTAGTTTTTCCAACATTGACTGTAAGTGTATTATAATCAAACCAAGATTTAAAATTGTGGAGATCTGTCGATGCAGAATCGTACACCTCGTCCCACGTACTGCCGGTGGTCACAACCGCCGTGTCATCAGCGAACAGTATCACCTTGCTATTTAATTTAACTTTAGATATGTCGTTTATGTAAATAGAAAATAATAGAGGCCCGAGAGTACTGCCTTGAACCACACCATATTCTACCGGTGTTACATCACTCACAACTCAATTTATGGAAACTACTATTGTTCCCGAGACTTAAAATAGTTCGCAAACAATCTTAGAGTTGGTCCTTCGATACCTATACATTCTAATTTACTTATTAGAATGTTTCTGTCAATTGAATCGAAGGCTTTGGTAAGATCCAAAAAAGTTATAAGATTTTTTTTTGTTTTCACTGAATGATTCAAAGATAAATTTTGTAAGATCGAATAGAGCGTCTGAAGTATTTCTGTCGTTTCGAAAACCATACTGTGAACTGGAAACTATATTTTCTTGATTTAAGTAATTTGCCAATTGGATTTTAACACATTTCTCAAGTATTTTGGAAAACACCGTTAGAAGGGAAATAGGTCTATAGTTCGATTTATCAGATTTTGGTCCAGATTTATATAAGGGAATGACTTTAGCTATTTTGAAAATATTCGGAAACTCTCCAGTTTTTAAACTACGATTGATAATATAGTAAAGTGGTTCAATAATACAGGTAATAGATTCCTTTACAAATTTTGCTGAAATATTGTCAAGGCCTGGTGCAGAACCTCCTCTAATACTCCTGACGACCTCAGTAATCTGCTCTCCGGTGACCGGCTGGAATCGGAAGACAGACTCCTGGCTGGGATCGGCCTCCACCAACACTGGAGGAGGGCCATCAGGGTGTAAAGCTGTAGCGAGCTCTACTCCAACCGATGCAAAATAGTTGTTGAATGAATTGGAAATAGATTTGACATGGTCGGGAGTGACAGCGTCGTTTGAATCTGCAAACTCCTGCACAGGGAAAGGTTGTTTTCTAACTGGGCGGCCGGCAGCCTCATTCACAATTCCCCAAAAACGCTTTGCGTCACCATTAGCCTGTTCAATTTGGTCCCTGTAATAGTCATACTTAGCGCGCTTTATAAGTGAATGAACGGTATTCCTGTAAGTTATATAATGATGACGTAATCGTAAATTGAATGGTTGTTTTTTAATCTTTCTGAATAATTTGTCACGTTCCCTAATTGAATTAATTAAACCTACTGTTATCCATGGCTTAATTTTCTTAGTCTTAGGCCAGGCGCACACAGGCGATTTTGAGTTGCGCAACAGTTGCCCGACTAATCGGGGGACTGTTGCGCGACTCTCTCGGAGACTCTGAAGTCTAGCGACAGTTGAGCTGGAGTGCGCACACAGGCAACTTTTTAGTCGCGGATCTAGTCTTGAGACGTGTTGGAAATACATTCGTTAGGCCTGGCGCACACGGTCAATTTTTCGATCGGCCGATTAAAAAATCGGCCAAAAATAAATCGCCCTTGATTTATGTCTAGGCGCACACGTGGCGATTTTTTAGTCGAGAAATGGGTTTTTTTAGTGCGTTTAAGCTATCCTAAAATGGACTTTGTTGAATTAACCAGTGTTTTTGTGCTCTTCTAATTAGACCAAAGAAAAAAAGAAGAAAACTTAAATATTGGGTTCATCCGATAGTAAGTCAGAGACTTTTAAATCGACAGTTTTATAAACTATACACTTTACGTGATGACAGTAAAAAGTCCTTTAATTACTATAGAATGTCTGTTTCAGTTTTTATTATAACACCTGTGGCCTTTTTAACAAAGAAAACAACACAACTCACACTGAAGTTCACTACTCCTGTGGAGAACAACAAGCGACTGGCCGATTTTTAGTCGACCGTGTGCCCGGACTGATAACAATCTGTACGTTACAGATTTTCGGGCGACAATCGCCTCGCCTACGAATCTGTGGCAAAACCCAGATTTTAAAATCGGCGCAATTCTCGATGGCCTGTGTGCGCGCTTCCATTCAAATACATGATGCACAGATCGGCCGATGAAATAGTCGCCTCAAAATAATCGCTCGTGTGCGCCGTGTGCGCCTAGCCTTACAGCGTTCCGAATGGATTTCAATGATACAGCCGTAGTATGTGCTTTGTTGCTGAAGTTTCGCGCGCGAAAGAAAATGAGAAGATACTGGGTTCATCCCATATATAGTGAGCGACTTGTGAAAGGACAGTTTCAATGACTTTAAATATAGTCGGCCTCTTCTCGACTTCATCAATTAATTTTTCGACATCCTCATCACGCACACTCATACTTGTAATTTTCTAAAAACTTCACACAACAAGAGAGCAAACACTAGTGACAGTTCTGGCCACGAGTAGTTGAACTCCTGGGGTGAGACTGGGCGACACAGCGACTATTTAGTTGCATGTGTGCGCATCTACACTTGTTTTAATGGATACCAAACCTAGAGCGACAGTCCCGCAACAATTGAGTCGCAGAGCAGTCGCTGGCAAATTGGGTCCGGGAACATCGGTTGCAACAGTTGCGCGACTGTCCCCAGACTGTTTCCTTCGTGTGCGCACTCCAATTTAAAACAATGTTAAACATTTTAGTCGGGCAACTGTTGCGTGACTCAAAATCGCCTGTGTGCGCCTGGCCTTACAGTTTAGTTTGGCTGGGGACGTTGAGCTCGGTGGGGCACACGGGAGGGACTAAGGCTAACATATCTTGTAGTGTCAGCGTTCGCCGCTAGAACTGCTAAGTTGAAAAAATTTAAATTAATTTTTTGTTTTAGTTATAAAATTAACTTTTTAATTATAAAATATTGTTTTAAAATTATAAAATAAATTATTAATTTTTAAAATTAAACTGTCATAACATAACCTAACCAACCAGACTTGCTGATAATATAAAAACTATATAAGATAAAATCTAATTAATGATTACCGGTACTTATAATTTTTAATTAATTATAAAATTAATTTTAAAATTTAGTATTATAAAATTAAACTGTTATAACCTAACCTAACCAACCAAACTTGCTGATATGAAAAATTTGTTGACAAAAAGTTAGTGCTACCAGCGGGATTCGAACCCGGGACCTCCTGAATACCAATCCGAATCGCTACCAACTATGCCACGAACGCCGCTGAAATCCCATCGTTTCGTTATGGTAATCGTGTTGCCTCAAGAGAAGACATTAGCCCCTAGAGATATGACGTCACTACACCTTTAGCCTTAGTCCCTCCCGTGTGCCCATTCCACGTTGAGCTAGTCATAGCACGTGTGACAATATCTACCGTTTTTGTAGCACAGGTGTCTAGGTCCATAGAATCATCTTGCACAGATTGCCAATTAACACATGATAATAAATTTTGAACTTTTACCCAATCAGTTTTTTCCTTAACAATTGACGTATGTTCACTAGTTAAGCTAAATTTTGAATTTAAAAACAAAAAAATTAGTCTGTGATCTGTATTTGATGAATTTAGAACAGCTGAATGGACATTGAATGACTTTAACAATCGTACAAAAATGTGGTCTATACATGATTGACTCTCAGGTCGGGTTACCTTATCGATGCAGGATACATATCCTGCGTCATAAAGAACATCTAAATATTGGTCTTCTACTGAGTTATGATTTACATTTAATATATTAATGTTTATATCACCAACTAAAATTCTTGTCATACGATTTCCTTGATTACCGTTAATGTAGTTTTGAAGGCCATTTACAAAAGATATTAAATTTGAACTTGGGCTGCGGTATACACAGAGCAGCTCGCACGGGTGACCGGCCCATTGAAACGAGATCGACAAACAGCTGGCCACGCCTCCTAGACACAGCTGACGGCAAGTCACCGAGAACGCACTGTCCATCTACACCACTAACCCATCGTTTCTGTTCAAGGGATTTTCTGATTTATGTACATCATAACCATCTATGTGTACCAACTGGGAATCGTCATTCAGCCATGCCTCACTCAATACTATACAATGAACTTTTACAGGAATACTATTTAACACTACTACCAGTTGGTCAATATTTTTCGAATAACTTCGGATGTTTTGATGCATTACATTGAAATTTAAATAATTACTTGATACGTTGCAAATGTCCTTTATATCATCATAATCGTTAACTAAGTTGCAATCAACAGTAAATTCATTAGCATCGTTATCAATATTGTTATCTATATCGTTATCCATACTAACATAGAAACGGTGCTCGGCCTAATAAGATAAGAAACTGAAATGTTAGTCTGAAATGAGGTAGTTTACGTTTCTTAACGTTTCACTAACCAAAAATATGTAGGCTACCTATATCAATGCTGATGAAAGATTTTTTCGTGATTGGTTTCGTTAACATGATAATGGAACCCTAACCAGTGGCAAAAGAGTTAGTAGTCAGTCGATGATTAGCTTTTTTAACTGTAGGCTAAATAAATATGAAAACGTTAAAATATTTTCAAACAAAAAATACATCCATTGAATGAAAAATAATATATAGATTAACAATTAAGTACTTAAAAATAAGGACGGATTATCAAAGAAATACTTTACTATGGCCAAACTATGAACCCACTGAATGTTTAAATAGGCCTATTTTGATAGATGGTGTAAAATCAATCACAGCTTTAGGAGAAATGCCACCAGATAAGCTTACACAAAGAGTAGTTTCTATTTTATGTTGATCAGAAACGAGTTGCGCCTTTAAAAAAAGAGTAGAGCTATACAATTAGAAATAATAAGTGGGCCAGGGTACTAATGTGAGTACATGTATTATTGTAACACTGTATCAATTCTGACACATAGATAATTTTATTCTGAGTTTGTTTAAATATTACAATAATTTGTTTTACATTTGAGCTTTTTAGGGACTTATGTCCCTACAAGCCACTAGTTCTTTTTAATCTTGTTGTTTTCAAAGTGAAATCAAATTCATACGATTATATCATTAGTTTTTTTTTATTATTCGTTAAATCATTTTTGGAATGGTATTTCGTTTTAAACTATTAAGAAAAAATCATATAGATGCCTAAATAATCATCCTCTTAACTTTTCTTTATACATCTTAAACTGATTAACAACGGCATCCTGATTTACTTAAAAAACCTTTTCACTCGTGTATCGGTAGTAAAAAAAAAAAAAAATTGTTTACAATCACATATTACACAAAGAGAATAAATAAATAAATATACCATATTGATAAGTTCAACTAATAAACTTCCAAAGATTATAAATATTCAATTAATTATTATAAATCTACAGTAATTGCCATGCACATCATCGTAATAACAGAACTCTCTGAACATATTTATAAACTCACCACCTCTACATCTACAGGGAGTATTGCTGTATAAGTATGAAAAAAGTTAGCCTGATCCCAGTAGCGTCGTCAACAATATATTGCTTTTGACAAAGGATCGGTTACGACCTCGCTAAACGTTATTGTGGCTCGAACCCTTCTTTGTTTATTCCAAATATGTACTTTTCTTCGCCCTCTACACCCTAGATAACAAGTTATATTCGTAAAACACCTTCAAGTGCGTTTTACCGAAAATAGTGTTTTTTAAAAGTTAGGTACGCATAACTTATAAACTATAAGAGATAGCAATATGAAACTTCACACACATCTTCTTCACATCATGGTGAGTAGTGCTTGATACCTCTTTTAGTTTAAATGATTTTGTTTAAGTCATTACCAAGGTAACAAAAAAAATAAATCAGGTAAAAAAATTACATATTTTATTTATCAAAATAAAAAATAAGAAACAAGAATATATTTAAGTTTTAACTAGCAAGCCGTAGTAATCGCAATACCATCCTTAAAAATGTTACCCTATGGCATAGAGATCATGTAGTAAAAATTTAACTTTAAATGGTTAATAGGTTGCTGAGGAATGCGTACCTATATTGGTGCATATCTTCCTATTTAAATAGCATTAGGGCGTAAATAAAATTAGATTACTAAAAGTACGCACTGAAAAACATAAATTCTGTCATATAACACATAAATAGACAGACTATTCAACCTAAAACGACTACTCAAACAAATACAAGAACTTAAAACCCTCAGTCTACAAAAA